GCTCTGCGCAATGCCTCCATGGCGCTGCCCGCATTCTGAACTGCATCGTCAACCTTGGAGGACCACTCAACGTGCAAGGATATGCCGAGGGCAGTGGAGGATTTGAAAACCGCGATAGAACTTGAGACCATCCGCAACCCCGACCACATAAAACGAAACCTGGATTTCGAGTGTCGTAAAAGTGTTCCACAGCTGCATATCAAGCTGGGGGGTTGCAGGACGCGTCGATGAAACTTCGAGTTCTCTCTATGCAGCCCCGGGAGGGGCCGAGTGAATTACCAGAACGCCCAGGATGTCAACTTCCAGACCAGGTGAGCCTGTCCGGCTCCGAAACTCTCGGTCCAAGAGCTTCCGTTCATGACAGGGTGTGACTGCTGTTTTTCAGTCGTTCATAGAAGGCGCTTCGAAGAGGCCCAGTTACAGCTCAAACATCCGCGTTTTCCTAGTCCCAAACCGTGCAAACTGCAAGCTCAATGGAGGTCAACTACGAGACGGGAGCACAAAAACGTGCTTATTGAAGGCTTCCGTGGAGATCAGCCTGAGCCTCGCTCCGACGGGCCGAAGCAACGCACAGGGAGAAGCACGAAGTCACCAAGAGGTTGCTAACGGGCTGGGACCGGTGCCAGGGTGAACTTCAAGGAATACTTCACAGCTTCTAGCACTTGCAGTGTGAGCAATGGCAAGCTAGAAGAATTTGCTTATGAAATGTGGCTTGCTGCACAGCCGTGAGTGGCCGAGCTTGGTTTCAAAGGCCAGGAAAAGCTAACAAATCAAATCTCAAAGCCAAACTACCCCCGGATTCTGGATTCCGGAAACTCCTTTTCAACAAAGCGTACTACACGAGTGGATCTACGGTCGGACATCGCAGAATCCCGGTCTGGTCCGTCGGTGTTTTTCACCTGTCAGACGCGTAGTGCATACGTTAAAGGGCTGGGCAAAATCCCAGATTTCGGGTCTGAACTGTTGGTGTTTGTGTGTTTGCCTTTTTCGTGTTGCTTGGAAGGGATTGTTTGTATTCTAACTTCGCTTTGCTCTAGTGCTGGGAGCACGAACCCAAACTTCGCGTTGAACAGGAGCGTGCCACGCTGCAGTCCGTCACTTTCCGTTGTGCAGGGCCTAAGTCATGGAAATGCAAGCTCGACACAGGAAGGTTTATGTGGATCTTCTGTCGCATGCGCGAATAAGAGCATCGAGTGGCGATGTTAAAACAATGCCCACCAACGCAAATGACTCATGTTTCGGCTGCTGAGGACGGCGCTGGTGCTTACTTGGGCTTCTCACGATTATGTGGCTTCTCTTGCAGTCTCGGACCAATTCGCTGCACAGCGTTCGATGTTCAGAGCTCGTCACGCGGGGTTTGTGCCCGCGGGATCTCCTCCGTCTCCGTGGCTCGGCCTCGTCCGCTTCTTCTCTTCGCCCTGTCGAGGGCTCCTTTTCAAACCGCCAGTGCCCGATGTTGTCGAGTTCCGTGTCACGCCACGCAGCTCGCAAGCTCGCAAGGCCACCCATCCGCTCGCACTTTTTGAGCTGCAAAACATTGTAAAGCCACGGCCTTTTTGCTGAAATATCCAATCGGTTGGAATGCGGAGTTCACAAGCGCCCAAGCTTGAACCTCGTGCTTGACATCTCAGCAACGGAAGCAGACTGAAGGGTGAAGCATGAAGAACAATATGTTTGCAAGCAGCTGTCGCCATCACATAAGTGGGCGATGTTGAAGGAAGTTGTTCCACAGCTTATCACCCCTTTGCATAATGAACTGCGGATAGTCGTCTCAAAGTATAACCCAGTTCAGCGAAGCCCTCGCATCACACGCTGCAACGGATCACGTTGAGTGTCCAGCTGCGCCCATCAGCACGTGGAAGAAAAGGGTCACGGTTTTCAGATCCGTATGACCCACCTCTGCATGCTTCCCTTTGATATCAGCTTGACTCCCCCAAGAACGCAGCAGGCCTTGTTTGGATCTAGGTGTCTCCACAAGGCTGCTTGAAGCCTGGCAGACTCCAGGTCATCTGCTGCTACCTGCCAAGGCAAGAATTTGTCCAAAAGTGCACAGACACACGCGATTGGAATGAGCTCCGACACTGTCTGGCGGGGTTTTCCACGTGCCGGACAAATGCGAATGCACGCTGGGACGATGGTCTATGGAACAAAGTATATGCCGCAGCACTCAATCTCTGTCGGGACCGGCTGGAGACTGCAACAAACAGTGCCACGGAGTATTGAGTGCCAGTGGGCGGTGAGTCGGTGCACGAGGGCCAAGTGAGAAAACTGGTCCTGTCCTGGCCTGACACCCTCGAAAATGCGATGATCTCGAGAACACTGCTTGCGAATAGAACCTGCTGACTCGGTCTCGAGATCAGCACATGCCTCAAGCTTGTGATGGGGCCGACTATGCATCAATTGCTGCCTCTGCTGTGCTGAAACACAACATGGAAAAGCAATGCCGGACCGTCACAGTCACTCTCCAAGACCGCGCAACTCTCGCCTCCCCTTCAGAAGATTGTGTCAAACCATGCCTCCGTAGCCAGTAACCACCCACGAGAGTCGCCCAGATGACATCCCGACGTTCAAGTTTAAATGATAACAATTTTAAATTCAGACGACCCTCTTGAGGAGACTCCTCAGTTGGATCCATGTACAATGAAGCTCTACGTCACATCACCTCACCAATGTCCGGAGCGTAGCATTTCGCCCGATCGGTTGCAACCTGCACATACATGATGAAGATTGATGAGCGCAGCGCTGATCGCGGTCCTCTTCCAAGATATGGCGCTCAAACTAGACACACCCTGTGGGGCAAAACCGGACACAAGCCCAGACGTGAGCACGGCTGGCTTTGAGGCTAGGACGGCAGCTAACTTCTCCGGAATTTCTGCGTACTCAGCCACAATCGATTGTAGCCGGCCTCTTGCAAATCACCGGATATGGACGTTGAAAACAAGTTTGCGAAAAATTGCTCGACCGGCTTGACTTGCACAGTGAGCAACAGCAACACATCTGCCGAGTTTAACTTGCTGGGCTGGGCCTGCAAGGGACACAGGCCGGGACAGGCCGCAGGACCACTTGACAATCCCACTGAAGATGTATGCACGCACAGCGAAGCCACAACTTGGTTCCGCACAAGCGAACATCATGGGCTTGTCTGTGTGCCTTGGGGGAACGACGAGAAGGCAGCAGGTGCAGTCATGGCTGCAATTCGCCCGATTGCGGCCGAAGGGGCTCGCACGCGTGTTTTTTCCCCAGGGTTCCATCTGCGATCGTTTCGACCTCTGGTGTGCAACCGATGCCGCGCTTTGCGATTGAGCGCAGCTGGCATCTAGGAGACTTCTGAAACGTACCGAGGAAGCCGCGGGTGAGGGACCTTCTCGCTGACACACGCTGCCACGGCCATCTTGCTGTTGCCCATAACGAGCTTGCCTCTTTGGTGCAGAATGCTGCAGATTCCACTTGCCGGAAGTGCATGTCCTTCAGCAGCCGCTTGGTTGATCATCTTCATCAGCTGATCACCTGGCTTAGTTTTCCTCATGTTAGTTCTAGAGTTCTCGAGGACAAGAAGACCTGCTGGGGCAATGGCCGGAAACCTTTTCCTCCTCCATCAAAGTTTTTGCCAACGTGTCCAGGAGGTACATGTTGTCCTGCACGGCGCGTCCGAGTCCGGTAGTTACTACGGGCAGAAGAGCCTCTTCAAGTTGGGCTACCCTCAGCAGCTTCATGCCACGCTGGTATTGTTCGTCCACGATGCGCTTCACCTCCGCGTCCACCGTTTGCTTCAAAGCCTCAAAAGGAATCCAGGACAGGCCTGGGCCTAGGGCCTAGAATGCATACAAATCACAGAGCAAGATGGCGAGCGAGAGCTATGCCGTCGAGAGTCTTGGGACATTGGTGGCGCACCCCCACCCATAAAATCACCTCGGTCAAAATATGCAATCGCTCCTTTCAATCCAGTCCACAGCTTTGCATCTGGCGGCAACCCAGAGAGTCTGCAGACGGGCTGCGCCCCATGAACGGCCCACCCTGCTGCTGTCCTCCCAGGAGGCGCTGGCCAATCTCTGGCGACATCCCAAGCTGCATCACCATTGTCTTGGCCACCTGTAAAGGAGCCGACGAAGAGACCCACAGACCCACGACGTGGGATTTCTTCCACTTCCACTGTGGCCTGCGTGCACTGTTGGAAGTCGTTGGAGGCACCTGCGAACACCAGTGTGGCAGCAACAGGCATGCCAAAATGGAGTAAGAGCCATTGATGGTGCCAGCCTGTGGTGACATTGTCTCTACCATTGATGATCTCCTCTGCGAGGCGACCACCCAGTGCCACACACATTCGATTCTCCAAGAACTCCTTGGAGTAGAGGCCTTCCAGGAGTGGAACCGAACTCACAGAGTCACCTGCAATCCGATCCGGCACCTGAGTTCAAGCGATCCTCAGATGGCATGAAGATGGTGACCCCACCAGCTGGCCCGCGCGGGACAATGCTGATCTTCGCCACAACATCGTAGTCGTTCCTGGAACTTCCAGACCACAGAGAAACAACTTGGCTGTTTGCTTGAGGACTAGACAACTCTCGTTCCAGCCAAGGTCTCATCAACGCACCCAAGATGGCATGACCGGCTTCGTGGTAAGCAACCAACTTCTTCTTCTGCTCGGACATGACCGCATCCTTGAGTCCAGCACTGGGAATTGCGCTTGTGGTGCACCGGACATCGCCGCCTTTTTCTCCAGGCCGATGGAGATGCGTTCCAGAGCATTGAAGATATCGTCAGGGTCAATCTCCTTGAACAATTCACGACAAAAGTCCTACTCTTTGCGACCGCAGTTGAACAGTGATGCTCTGATCGTGCGGGTGGTGAGGCTGGCAAGGCTCGGCTTTGTTCGATCTGGCTGCCTGGATGGCACCTGACCAACACACGAGCTCGAGATGAAATACTCACAGTGGTCATTGGCAGGTGCCTTCGTTCAAGAGATTCGCAAGGTCGGCACCCGACATTCCAGGTGTCTGCCGAGCTATCGCAGAAAGGTCAACACCAGGTGCCAGGTTCTTATCCTTCGGAAGTGGACGTTCACTGTTAAGAAAAAGACATGCTGTTCCCGGAATCAGTGGCTCGATGTCGAGAATCCTTGGCATGGACTTTGAGAATCTCGGTGCGCCCCTGCACGTCCGGAGGATCCACCTGAATAGGGTCCCTGACCCACGAGTACAGCATGTCAAGGCTTGTGCAAAGACCAGGCTTTTAACCTCCCTGTGAAGGCGACGTCCGGAGTAGGCCTGGATTTGACGATCGAAACGTCCAGGTCGCACCAAAGCTTGGTCCAGGATGTCAGCCCTGTTCGTTGCCGCGATGACAACTACTCCCTTGTTGCTCTCGAAGCCTTGGTGACTCAGGAGTTCCGAGCGTGACAAATTGACTAAAGACTTTGGCCCTGCAAAGGCCCACCCAGACCACAAGCCAGTAGAAAAGGCCAACATAAGAGAGCTTGCATAATCAAAGCAAAGGAGCCGTCCATCTCTGTCAGCAACTGATTCACCGTCTGCTCGCGCTCATCGTTGCCTGCAGCACTTTCGCGGCAACTATTGCGGACATACGAACTCTCGTGACCATCTCCTTGGCCGAAGCCAGCACTTCGCTGGCGGCCCACTGCATCGATTTCATCGATGAAGATGATGCATGGTGCAGACTTCTTGGCCTGCGGCTTGAAGCACAATCTGACGACGGATGTGCTAAAGAAGATTTGCTCTATTTGTGTCATCCGGCCTGTTCGAAGAGGTCGCGCACGCGGGACGCACCAATGCCCGCGAAGATCTCAACGAATTCCGAGGCTGAAATGCTAAAGAACGGCACACCAGCCTGAGTGCTGATCGCGCTCCACATTCGAATCGCGACAAAGAGCGGTGCTGGCAATCTTCCGGCCTCTCCCGCCACGGCCTTTGCAAGCAGCGTCTTTCCGGTGCCAGGTGGACCCACCAGCAAAGCACCCTTCGGGATCTTGGCACCAAGCTCAGAATACCTGCAGAGTGCTTGGCCGGCTCGCACATGCCCCGCCCCTTCCAGCCGAGGAGCCTCGAAGTGTTTTTCAGGAAGTCCACGACCTCTACCAACTCCTGCTTGGCACCATCGCAGCCTCGAGTAGCAGATCTTCGATCGACCCTGCACGACATTTAGAGAAACAGAGTTGTTGGCCTGCAACATCGGCGAACTTAACTTTGGTATCACCATCCTCCAAGGTTCCAAGCTGCTCGAAGCAGGAGAGGAATCCCGACATGCCGCAGACACGTCCTTGATGATGCGTGCTTTGGACTTTCCAAGCT